CTCCCAACGGCACGGCGGGGGAGGAAGTGTCAGTTTGTGAACCTGCCGCGGCCCGGGCCCCAGGCCCGGCGGGCAGGGACCTTGCAGCGCGTCCGGGAGCCAGGTGCCAGGAAGACGGCAGAGATTTGGTCTGCACACCCTGCCCAGTGCCTGTGCGCTCTGGCCTGGAGAAAAGAGAGGATGAGAGGGGTGGAGAGAGGGGGGGATGTGGCCGCGCCACCATCTGGAGAGTGAAGACCCCAGCAATGCCCTGCCTGCCTCAAGGCCCCTGACATGCACACACATGTATTCCAATTCATATACGCACTGCCACAAGGCTGTAGACATCAGTCTCACAGGAGTATACGCTCACTCACACGGAAAAACACGCAGGACTCTCTCCCCGTCTACAGGTAATCATAACACCAGGTGCCCAGTGCCTCGACAGAGAAGGAGGGGACCAGAGTAGTGGGTGCAGAGAACAGAGAGAGGCTGTGTTTGGCTTAATGGAGAGTGTGTGTTGAGGGGCATGGTGCCAGGTGAGCCCAGAGGGGAAGAGGGGGCCTTGGGGAGGGCCTTGAATGCCACTGAAGGCATTGGGGAGCCAAAGAAGGTTTTTGGATGGAAGAGTAAGAAGATGGGACTTGATTGCCCTGTGGAAGAGTCTGATGGGGAGGCAGGAAAGCAGGGAGTGGCCTGTTTAGCACTGGGTGCTGGTGGTCCCATTCCCCATCCCAGGTGCCCAGCATAGGGGAGCACAAGGCTCAGGAAACAGTCACCAAATGAATGAACGGTCCTGGTGAGATGAGGACTCAGATGAAAAAGCGGAGTCGGATGCCAGAAGTCACTGTGTTCAAAATTAGCCAATTTTGGCAACTCATTTGTTGGAGAAGTCTTAAGATGCTTGGGGGTTCTGGGGACCATAGTGGTCGCATTAGCAGGAAGAGAGAAATCAATGTGGAGCAGCACGTGTCGTAGGATGGTGAGAGACAGATGTGGAGAGGTTGGCATGGCCGTGACTTCACTGCTTGGAGCCAGTTTGCATCTGAGTAAAAGCCTAAGTGAGTTTAAATGTCCCAGAATTGGTTTCCATTAAATCATCCCATAATTGAGAACAGAAAAGGAGATTACGAAAAACACAGATGGCCAAGTCTATGCCAGTTCACAAGCCACCCAGGTCTCCTTCTAGGTGAGTTTTCTCTGGCCAGCTCTCAGGGAGAGGTCGGGGGTCTGAAAACTTCCTGCCGCTCCCCTGGAGAAGACCTTCCACTGAGGGAACATGGAGTGTGTTTGCTTAAGGGATAAAACCTCTGGCTCTGAAGCCAGGGGGTGTGGTTCAGGCCCCCCTGGGCAGGGAGAGTTTGCTCTGTGGTTGGTTGAAAGATCTGTTCTTTGTAAAAGGCAGTGTGGTCTGGGTGGGAAGAACGCAGGTCTTAGAATTGGCTCACCTGATCATGGATCATGGGTCTGCCTCTGACCCCCTAGCCACCTCCCCTTGCCAGGCCTCAGTTTCCTGACCTGTAAAATGGGAATAATCATGTCTCCCTTGTAGGGTTGTCATGGGGATCCAGTGAGATGATAAAAGCATCTGACACATAGCACAGGTTACCTAAATGGAGTTTCCTTCCTTCCCCTCCCCCTGAAGCAAGGAGTAAAAACCCTGTTCTCTTTCTCTTCCAGTGTCAGTAGAAGCTGATGGAGAGTCGAGGTCTGGACCCAGGGACTCGGGACTCCTATGGTGCCAACAGCCACCTCCCCAACAAGGGGGCCCTGGCAAAAGCCAAGAACAACTTCAAAGACCTGATGTCCAAGCTGACGGAGGGCCAGTATGTGCTGTGCCGGTGGACAGATGGACTGTATTATCTCGGGAAGATCAAGAGGGTAAACCTTTCCTCCCTGGCCCCAGTTCCCAGACTCAGCATCTGTCTGCTCATCCTCAGACCAGTGATGGAGGATGGGAGATGGCTGGGAAATTGTGCTTCACGCTCCAAAGCTGAAAGTGGAAGGAGGTGGAGCCTGCAAATGAGGTGCCATCCTTAGGGCCAACATCAGCCAGCCACTTAGAAAAGTGCTCTGTGAGCGTACAAATCAAAACGAAAGCAGGTTGGAGAGGATCACAGACGATCACCTGGCCTCCTCTGTCCTCGGCATTCTCACCGAGCTGTCGTCCCCCGATCCCTGACTGTGCACCACCAGTGCGTGGGCACACACTACCTCCAGAACTGCCATCCTCCTCCCCTTCTAGCCTAGCTCTGCTTTCTGGAGCACCAGGAAGGGGTCTAATCCCTCCGCCCTGTGGGGATGAAAATGGGAGAGGAAGATCTTGTTCCAGTGGCTTTTCCCCAGCCACCATCTCACACTGCTCCTCCCTCTCTGTGCCCCAGGTCAGCAGTTCTAAGCAGAGTTGCCTCGTGACTTTTGAAGATAATTCCAAATATTGGGTCCTGTGGAAGGACATACAGCATGGTGAGTATTCCTATGATTTCAGGCATCCCTGCCCTACCTCCTGGTCCTCTCTCTTCCTCTACCTCCATTTTTCCCTTTTCTCCTTCTGTCTCTTATTTCTGGCCTCCGGCCTTGTTCTTGGAGCCCCAGAACCACCTGAGATGCTGATGGGATTAGCAGTTGTACATTTACATGGAAACACACTTGTGACACCTGTCATCCCCTTGAGTACACATATCTCATTATGGAGGCAGGAAGATGGAGAAGGTGGCTCGTGGAGGTACAGGGAGAGCAGGGATGGGTCCCAGGCCCGTGTTTGCTTCCTTGCTGTCCAAAGCTCTGGGTCATTTTGGGGGTATGAACAGGGAGGGACCCAGGCAATCAGAACTGTCACCTGTATATGTAAGCACAGTGTCTCCTATCAGCACCTAGGGAGGCAGCTTTCTCCATGGGGGAAAGACCAAAAAAGCAGGTATGGACCAGGCGGGATGAAGATGGACATGCCTAGATGGAACTGAGCCAATTCTCAAGGTTGAAAGGGAGCTGGGTTGGGTACCATCCCTGCCCTGAGAAAGCTGACACTGTCTTACAGAGATGGCAAATTGGGGGCATTCTTGCTACCATTCTTCCTTCCCGTGTACATGACAGACATCACTAATCAATCATAACATTCATATATTTTCAACGTGGAGCTCCAAGCAGCCACTACCGATCAGAGTTACCATGAGAGGAGAGACCTTTTTGGCATTTATGCACTAACAGAACAGACATGGTGGAAGAGGCAGGTTTTAGGGTCAGATATTCCTTGGACCAAGATATTCTACCTCTGCCACTTGCTAGCTGCATGTCTTTGGGCAAGTGAGAGAACTTCTCTGAACCTGTTTCTTCATCTGAAAAAAGGAGATAGTGAAAGTACTGGCCTCCCAGGTGGTTAAATGAGATAATCCATGTGAAACGTTTAGCCCAGTGCTATTGAGTTACAGGCAGGCATTTTCTAAAGACTTTGTTATTGTACGAGATGATTTCAGGAGCCTGACAAGCAAAGGCCACAGAACGCAGCCAGTTAGCAGCTTCCAAACTGCCTTTTTCTCCAAGATGTTGTGGCTAATGCAGACTAATGCTCCTCCAACCCCCTCTCACTCTAAATGTATTATTTAAAAATCCGAAGCAATGAGGGTCTCCTCTCCTGGGCTCCCTTCTTATCGAAAGCAGAAGGAGCCAGCTGGTGAGGAAGGACAGTTCATGTCTGCAAACCATGTGTGGAAAGCCTGCTGTGTGCCAGGCACCAAGGAGGTGCTGCATTGCTCACCTGGGGAACTGCGTGGCTCCCCAGCCGGATCACGACAGCCCTTTGAGGTCCCCCAAGGGGAGAGCATAAGGCTGAGGACACTGTAGTTACTGATCCATCATTTCATTAAGCCAGTGAGGACTTACTGAGACCCACGGTGGGCACCACTTTCCCAGGGGGGTACATATTCAGGAATAAGAGGCAAGAGACCATTTATTCAGCAAACACATCTGAAAACGTGTTACATGCCTAGCCCCATGTGAGGCCTGAGGACACAGAGATGAACAGATACCATTTCTGCCCTTACAAAACTTTCAGTCTGCTACAGGAAATGAGTCAGAAACACACATCAAAATATATTTACTTTATTCACTCAAATCCTTCAAAAATACACACATATTTCTTCTTCAACAACAAAATGCAAAGAAAAAAAAAGATGGAGAGGGAACCTGTAAATTAAAAGCAATTGGACAAACTTAAAATCGTTATGACGTTTTTATTTGAGACAATTGGAACTGTGAACACTAACTGAATTTGTTGATGATATTAGGAAATTAATTTTAATTTTTAGGTGCAATAGAAGAGTAGTTATTTTTTTAAGAGTTCTAATCTTTCAGAGATACATACTGAAATATTTATGGAAAATGATTTGAATCAAGGACTTGATTCAAAATAATACAGTAGGGTGAAGTGGGTGGGAATATAGTTGAAACAAGATTGGCCAGGAGTTTATAATTGCTAATAAGAACACGGAGGTTCGTTAAACTGTCCACTATTAAACCATAATTTTAAAAAAGTCTTTCAATTATTTAACATAAAAACCTGTTTAAATCAAATTAAATTAGACAGGAGAGGCAGTATGGTGTGGTCAAAAGAATGAATGACTTGATGTCAAACAGCTGAATCCCACCTCCTACTTACTAGCTGAGCAAGGGGTTTAACCTCTCCGGGCCTCAATTTACCCATCTTTAGAATGGGGTAGTAGTAATAGGCACCTCGGAGTGGTTGGGGAGATTTCGGTGAGTTGGCCTATGGGGCCCAGCCCTCAGTAGAGGCTCAGCACCTGGAATGTGATTAAAACTTCAAATTCCTGTGAGCCAGACCTGACCCTTGAGGACCTCTTTCAGCTGGTGTTCCCGGGGAGGAGCCCAAGTGCAACATCTGCCTGGGGAAGACATCAGGACCCCTGAATGAGATCCTCATCTGCGGGAAGTGTGGCCTGGGTGAGTGTGATGAGCAGGGCACTGGGAAGGCCCGGCCCTGTGGGTCCCCATCCCTCACTGTCTTGTGACCCGCACTGCCTCAGACCCTTGGGGCCTTAGCTGGCTTCCTGTTTCTTTCGGAGCTCTAGACAGGAGGCCAGTCTCTGGGAATGAGGGACCCTGGAGGCGACCCTTGGGGAGGGCTGGGGCTTCTGGAAAGTGAGACAGGCTATGCACTTCAGAGCCCCCGTGGGTGGAGAGGATGGGTGGGAGAGATGGGGCATGGAGGCTGACGCCAGACTTTTGGTACTTCCCCCACTGGGCCAGTGTTGGTTTTTAGTGGCCTGCCTGGGCACCAACTTGGCTGCCTTGGTGACATCGCCAGCTAGTCCCCTGGCAGCTGGCAGGCACACAGTTCCTAGGACCTGCTGCAGCCCTCCCCCGCCACCTTTGGGCTGACTGGCCTCAGGCCATCGCCTCTGTGTGGGCACTCACCACCACTCCTTCGCCGTAGGTTACCACCAGCAGTGCCACATCCCCATAGCAGGCAGTGCCGATCGGCCCCTGCTCACACCCTGGTTCTGCCGACGCTGCATCTTCGCGCTGGCTGTGCGGGTGAGCCCTCCATTCTTCCCACCCTGCCTCTCCCCCCTCCTCCAATCTGGAAGCCCAGAGACTCCCTGGGCTCATGCCTGACTCCTGGTCACGGAGCCAGGGCTCTGGACACAGACAGAGCCACTGCCATTTACCAGCTGTATGTCCTTGGCCAGGTTCCTTAGCCTCCCTGAGCCTGTTTCCCCAACTTAAATGGACGCAGGTTTGGTGTCAGGAGTAGGACGCCCCCAACAAGTGGTGCTTTACTGTTAAAAGAGAAAAATCCATGTAAGCGCTCAATATATATTGGTTATTATTGTCACCTTTGTTGTTGTGCTTATTACTATTAATACTGTTGAAAATGCAGATCCTTGGGGATAGAGAGAAGATGGATCTGGGATTGATGAGAAAAGGCTCCTTGTGTTTCTGACTATATTGGAACATCTGCGTGTCCACCTGGTCGGCATTAACCTTGATAGCCTTGAGAGGGATTCACGTGTGGCCCAAACAGGACCCCCCACAGGTGACTCGGGCCCTCATCTCCCTGCAGAAAGGCGGCGCGCTGAAGAAGGGCGCCATCGCCAGGACGCTGCAGGCCGTGAAGATGGTGCTGTCCTACCAGCCCGAGGAGCTCGAGTGGGACTCGCCTCACCGTACCAACCAGCAGCAATGCTACTGCTACTGCGGCGGGCCTGGAGAGTAAGGCCGCGGGGGCGGGGCCTCTCGGAGGGGCGGGGCGCGGGGCGGGGCAGACCGGGGCGCAGCCGGCGCTCGGGGCGGGGCTGGCTCTAGGGGACCACCCCGCCCAACTCCAGGGAAGAGCCCGCATCCTCTTTCAGGCGGCAGGAATGAGGCCTGAGTGCCCTGCGGGCTCCAGAGGATGAGGCTAGCGCTCTCCGCAGGTGGGGTGGGGCGGGGATGTGGAGGTGTTTTCTTGGGGCGCCGTGGAAAAGAAGAGGGGTTAAGAGCTTGGCCTAGAATATCAAAATCCTCCCGGCCCCTTACAGCTGTGCAGCCCCTGAGCCCCAGTTCTTTTCGCAGTTTTCCCGTGACATGGTGGTTGTGAGTGGAGTGTGAATTAGGTCATTCACATAAAGGCTCACACAGTGCCTGGCACTTGGTAAGCGCTTAATGAATGTAAGCTGTTGCAGTTGGTGCTGGAAGTTGAGATAAACCTTTCCATGGTCAGAGCCAGTGGAACAGGCTGGAGGTGAGAGAGGAAGGTTCTTTGCCCTGGAGGTGTGCAAGCAGAGGTGGGGGAAGTACCTGCCCTGACTATGGGACAGGAATCTGATTTCTCCTTGCGGCCTGGGCCTCCACGTAGCCACGGGCAATTAAGCCTTCTTTCTTGGGCTGACGAACATTGTGGGAGGAACCACAGAAGTGAGAGATGGAATCTCTGCCCTGAGGAAACCCAGCCTACAGGACGTCCTGAAGTCTTAAATCTCAGCCCCAAGGTCGGCTGACAAGCACAGGGATCTGGAGGCTGTGCTTATAGCGTAACTGGGTGATTTGGGCAAATCACTCGAAGTACTTCATTTCTTAAGTAGGATTGATAACCTTGGCCCCTTCGTCTTCCCTGGGTGTTGGGAGGCCTAAGGGAGAAATGCTTATAGAGATATTGCAGCATTGAGGCGGTGGTTCTCAGTGCTTACTGGGCAGCGTTCCCCGGGTGGCTGTTAAAAATGCATCTGCCAGGGGCTCCCCTGAAGATTGAGTAGGCATGGAGGGGGCCAAGGAGTCTCCTGTTTTAACCTTGACCCCAGGTGATTCTGATGCAGCTGGTTCATGGACCACATCTGACTATGTGTGAACAAAGCATTGACTGTTAGTTAATTAAGAAAATCTCCTTTTGGTGTTCATTTGTATTTAGTGAGTAGTTGTTGAATGGCCATGATAGGGTAGATACAATACCAGGTGAGGGACTTATAGGGGCCTTTATTCTCCCATGAACTCTCCCGGGCAAACCTTTCCCCGTCAGTGGTGTTTTTGAAACAGTGTATAGGCACAGTCCAGAAATGGGGACTCCAATGTGGCAGGAAGACCGTGGACTTTGAAGTTAGGGAGGCCAGGATTTGAGTCACCATCCAATATTTGCTTCCTGAGTGACCGTGAACAAGCTGTTTACCTCTGACTCACCTGTAAAATGGGGACACTGGCCATCTTTGACCAGAGGGTGAGATCAAGTGATACCGTGCACCCCTTTCTGCCAGGACCTCCCAGGGCACAGCCTAGTGCTCCGTAACTGTGAGGTCTCTTCCCTTTCCCCCGGCGGAAGGCGAATTAGTGTTGGGAAAGGTTGCCAAGGCTGATTCCTGGCTGGGAGTGTGGGCCTGGCTGACCCTGGCTCCTCTGGCTCTCCAGATGGTACCTGCGGATGCTGCAGTGTTACCGGTGCAGGCAGTGGTTCCACGAGGCCTGCACCCAGTGTCTCAATGAGCCCATGATGTTCGGAGACCGGTAGGTGCTAATGTGGTCCGGCTCAGCCTTGGGGGGAAGGTTGGGGGACGGGGAACTGCAGCCACAGCAACCCCTTAAGATCACCTGCCTGGCCTGGCGGCAGCTTAGGGTAAAAGAAGACTTCTCAGTAAAGGAACTTGCTGAGCCACATCCCCAGTGGCCTGTGACAAGTGGGGGGCCTTAGACAAAGTCCTGCCTTCTCTAAGCCCCAGTCTCTTCAAGTGTCTGGGGGAGGAGGAGGACACAGGGCCTGCCCTACCCCTGCTCAGGGTTGTTGGAGGAGCCACAGGGGAGACGAATGCCTTGGTCTGGCTTCTAACCAATGGGGCTAAGCTAATGGGAGGCTTATGTGTGTCAGATCAGATGCTGTGTGTGTCTTGGTCGGTGTCTCATGTCATTTGTGATTGTGTGTGTGTATGTGTGTGTGTCTCTGAGGACAAGGGGAAGAGGCTGACCCCTGCAGCATAGCCTAGTTCAGCCCACTCTGAACTCAGCCACACTCCAGGGCAGTGATATTTGGGAAAGGGTTTGAGGCGGAGGTTAGAAGGGGTAGAGGAATAGTTCTTGGTCCCTATTCCGCCCCATCTTCATTCCCTCCCCAAAGGGAATGAGGACAATGCTGACTATGAGAAAGTGGGGAGTGAGGGGGAGAGAGGGCGAGGGGACTGGCCACGGGTGGGGTGTCAGAGCCCCTCCCACCACAGGCCCTCTTTCCACCCACCTGCAGGTTCTACCTGTTCTTCTGCTCCGTGTGTAACCAGGGCCCAGAGTACATCGAGAGGCTGCCCCTGCGATGGTGAGAGGGTGGGACTTAGCCCAGGCCCACTCCTGTCCCCTCCCAGCTTCTCCCCTCACCCAACCCTGGGAATAATTCCATTTCCAGCCACCAGGTCCCAGCCTTGCCCCTGCCCTTCAGCCTGGACCCAGGATGCTCCAGCCCTGGCTGGACAGGCTGCTGCCTCACCCCGGCCCCACCTCCTTGCCCCCTTGCCCAGGGTTGATGTGGTTCACCTGGCCCTCTACAACCTGGGGGTGCAGAGCAAGAAGAAGTACTTTGACTTTGAGGAGATTCTGGCCTTTGTCAACCACCACTGGGAGCTCCTGCAGCTTGGCAAGGTAAGCAGGGCCATGGGACGTCAGTGTGGCAAGAATTGGTTCCACAGCAGGGTCACCGAGGTCCAGGGATCTGGGTCTCTGAGCACAGCTCTTTAGGAACACTGCCTGTCTGTGAGGGTTGCAAGTGGGGCCAAAGACCCAGAGCCTTTGAGCTCCTGCGTCCTGGGTCCAGGCATCTGAGCCTGTGCCCTGCAGGGGGCTGCCTAACCCAGGTTTTGGCAGTAGGTGGGTTAGAGCCTTACCGACTCAGCTGAAGGGAACCCCCACCCCGCACCCCGCCCCACTGGGGTTGAGTCTGGCTGGAACAGGCCTCTCTACAGTGATGCGTGACCCACTCCAGATTACCTGGCTAGGATGGAACATGAAATGGGCCTGCCCCCTGCTGGTCATACTCTGAGTAGCAGAAGTGGTCAGCGGGGGTCTGGGAGCTGGGGGGGAACCTGTGGAGTGAAGTAACAAACCAGAGAGACTTTCAGGATGTCAGAGGTGGAGAGCAACTTGCGGGTGGTCAGCACCGCTTTGAAGCTGAGCCAGGGCCTCTCCAACCACTTCCACAGTGGAGCCATGCCCCCTTTTTTCTAATGACACCCTCAGAATCCTCTCCACCACTTTCAGCATCTTCTCTGCTGACTGCCCCAAATCCTTTAGTGAAACAGGGAGTTTTTTTTTAAAGTAATCTTTATGCTTTGCAAAAGCTTTTCATATAATAACATCTTCATTTACAATGTTTGTATATAACATATGCCTTCTATAAATTATCATATTATATATACAATGTACATATGTGTATTTATATATGTTATAAAGCACTAAAAAGATAGGTAGAGCTGGTATTCTTTAAATCAGTTTTTTTCTGATTTATAAAAAAAATTATACCTGTCCCTGGTAGAAAATTTTCAAAGTGTCAAAAAGTATAAGGAAGTGCGCTTAAAATAAAACCATCCTTACCCTGTGTCACATGACTCATGAACTGCTGCTAAAGCACACGGTGCTTATCCTTCCATCCTCTCCTGTCTGGTTTTCTTTTTACCCAGCTTTACAGGTTATACGGTATTCACAATTTTTTTTTATTGCAGTATAGTTGATTTACAATATTGTGTTAATTTCAAGTGTACAGCAAAGTGATTCAGTTATATATTTTTGCATTATTTTTTATTATAGGTTATTACAACATACTGAATATAGTTTCCTGTGCTATTACAGTAAATCCTTGTTGCTTACTTATTATTACATGTATAATAGCTTGTATCTGTTAATTCCATGCTCCTAATTTATCCAGCCCTCCTCCATTTCTCCTTTGGTAACCATAAGTTTGTGGGAATGTAAATTGATGCAGCCACTATGGAATACAATAGGAAGGTTCCTTAAACATCTAAACGTAGAATTTCCATATGATCCAGCAATCCCACTCCTGGGCATATATCCTGAAAAGATGAAAACTCTAATTAGAAAAGCTGCATGCTCCCCCGTGTTTACAGCTTACAATAGCTGTAAACAAATGTTTACTGTTTACAATAGCCAAGACACAGAAACAACCCAGGTGCCCAACAACAGACAGTTGGTTTAAGAAGATGTGTATGTGCGCGCGTGCAGCACACACACACACACACACACACACACACACACTGGAATATCACTCAACCATAAAAAAGAATGAAGTATTATCATTTGCAGCAACACGGATGGACCTAGAGATGACCATACTAAGTAAAGTAAGCCAGACAAAGACAAATATCATATGATGTCACTTATACGTGGAATCTAAAAAATAATACAAGTGAATCTATATACAAAACAGAAACAGACTCATGATATATACCATTTTAAATCATTTTTTTCAGTTTACATTATATCATGAATACTTTTGCATATTATGATGAGTTTTCATCAGCATTTTTCATGACTGCATTGGTTTCTACCATAGTTTACGTACTTGTTTCCTTTCTGTTGGGCATATAGTTTCTTTCCCATTTTTCATATTTGTCCATCATTGGCAACAACGCTGCAGTGAACATTTTTGTACATAAAGCTTTGTTCATGTGTCGTATCATGTCTGTATGATAGGTCCCATGCAGTAGCATTACTGGGTCAGGGGCAAGGACGCCTTTTAAAGCTCTTGATACATTTAGGACAAGAGTTACTCTCATTTACAGCTGGGGACGTGAACTCAGATGAAAAGACTTGTCTGAGATCATGAAACAAGTCAGTGGTCCTCACCTGGAGGACTCGGAGCATCAGGAGATTGAGGGGAGGGAGGGGACAGGGGCTGAGGCTCCTCATGCCCGGGTCTGACTGTCCTGCTGGCCTGCTCCTCCTTAGCTCACCAGCACCCCTGTGACGGACCGAGGACCACATCTCCTCAACGCTCTGAACAGTTACAAAAGCCGGTGCGTGCAGGGAAGGGAGTGCTGTGGGGACCCTCGACAGGTGGGATTTCAGTGTCTTCCTACCTCGTAGCCTTTGCTCAGGTCGTGCTCCCACCTGGGTCTCCCTCCTCCTTTGGGACACCTCCCCTGACCACTCCAGCAGCCTGACACATTGTGGTACTGGGCTCAGCTCCAAAGGGGGCTGCAACCCTGATCTCTGAGCTCCTCCCCCCCTCCTCAGCTCTGGCCATGTGTGGTTTTGGGCCAGGCACTGAAACATCGATTCATCATGTTGGGTGGGTTGCCGCCTCCTAACTGTCCCCAGCCCATGTCATCCCATCCAGACTGTTGAGTTCTTCTCAGAACACAGGGCTGACACGTGCCTTGCTACCACCACAGGGAATGCCCAAGCTCCTTAGCACGGCATTCAAGGCCTCTAATGATCAGACCCTGCCCACACCCTCTGCCACTGTCCTTTATATAAATGGGTGTCAGCCATTCTGAATCCTTGGCTTTCCCACTCTGTGCTTTTGCTCACTCTTCTCTTCACCTCGAATGCTCTTCAGTCCCTTTCATTCATTTGTTCCATCAACAGCTGCTAATTGAACTGCTGCTCTTTGTCAGCCCCATGTAGGTGCTGAGAACATAGTGACTAGGACATGATCCCTGCTTCTGTGAAACCTCTCCAGATAGCACTAGACAGAATTATCCACTCCTCCATCTTCTCATGGTCTGGGCCCACAGCCCTGCACCTGAATACGTGGGGTCTCCTGCCCTCTCTGCGGACAGTCTCCTAAGGGTAGGACTGTGGCTTAGTCACCTCTGCAGCCTCAGGCAGCTCAGCCAGTGTGGAAATGAGGAGGGAAGTGCCAGGAGGTGCTTTCAGTCTCCCTGGGGAGAGCAGAGAACAGAATGGTGTGGGATCCAGTGTTTCGACCATAGGGTTCCACCGGGAGCTAGATGAGGCCTTCCTGTAGGCGGCAGCCTTGCAGCTGGTTGAGGCCGAGAAGAAAAGAGGGGTGCAGCAGGAGCCACGCACAGGAGGAAGGACAGGGAGAAGTCCCCGGCCATATTCTCGGCCAACACCTGGAGGCTTTGAGGAATCAAGTGTCTCCATGCCCCTCTCTGGATTTTAGCTCCGGGTCCAGGGAGGCAGAGAGGGAGGTTTTAACACTTGACTCTCCTCCCCAGGAGGATGGACGGACAGGCTCCAGAGCTTTCCCCTCTCCCTGCCCACCCCCAGGTTCCTCTGTGGCAAGGAGATCAAGAAGAAGAAGTGCATCTTCCGCCTGCGCATCCGCGTCCCGCCCAACCCACCCGGGAAGCTGCTGCCGGACAAGGGCCTGGTGCCCACGGAGAACAGCGCCCCCTCTGAGCTGCGTAAGAGAGGAAAGAGCAAGCCTGGGTCAGTGCCTGGGGCCCCGGGGTGGGGCCGCAGCCGCCCTCGGGTTCTCTGCTCCCCGCTCCGGTCCCCACCGGCGGGCTGTGCCGCGACGTCGCAGCGAGCGGGGAGGGCCTCCATCCAGTGAGTCCCGGCCGGGGGCACCCTTTCCATGGCTGAGTCGGGACCTGATCCGTCCACCGCAGCCCCGTATGGCCTTGCTTGGAGGGAAAGCCAGATCGTGGAACCCAGTCTTGCCGGCGCAGGGCTTAGGCAGAGAGGCGAAGGGAAAGTCAGAGTGTGGAAGGGTCCCTAGCGCTCCTGGCTGAGCTCAGCCCCCTCGTCCTGGGCGAGGGGGGCGGGGCGGAGCATCCGGAGGCCTGAGCCTGGAGAGGCTCCTTCTGTCTTGCCAGCCACCGCACCCGCCCCTCCCTCCCACACCTGCCGCCCCAGAGGACTCCCCTTCCTCCCCCGGCTCCTTGTGAAGGAGGGCCTGTCCCCACCCCCACACTGTGACCGCACACCTGCCCCAGCCCCTTCTCCCTCCGGGCCACCCTCTGGGCCTTCAGGCTCTGACTGGGCCACCCTCTCCCTCTTCTGTCTCCACAGTTTGTTGCCTCACGAATTCCAGCAGCAGAAAAGGAGAGTTTATAGAAGAAAAAGATCAAAGTTTTTGCTGGAAGATGCTATCCCCAGTGTTAGTTTCTGGTTTTCTTACTCTCCACTTTGGCACGCAGGGTCAGCACACATTAGGGACTCCTGTGCAGAAAACTGAATCCCCCAGGCCCAGGGGATTCTCCCATGTCCCTGAAAGAAGCCAGTTCCTATTACAGCCAAACAAGGAAGGGCCAGGCGCTGCAGGACCCATCCTTTATCTCCCCAAGTCTTCCAGGAACCCAAGGAGGGGCTGGGCAAAGGCAGGTAGTATCCTTGCCCCCACCGCGTCCAGGTGGGGAAACTGAGGGCCAGGGAGGGCAGCGACTCTCCTGAGGCCACACCTCAGGCACTGGCAGAGCCCAGCCCAGAACCAGGGCTCCAGAGCACCCTCTTTCCCCCTTCAGTAGCCCTGCATCCTCACTGAAGCCCTGCCAGGGGCGGTAGCTCCCCTGGGCCACGTCTAAGGCACCTTTACAACTGCCACTCTATTCTGTCATGCTTCCCGACACCTCTGTGAGGGGAGGCACGGAAGGGGTATTGTTTACTTTTTGTAGCTAAGGTCACTGAGGCCCAGAGATGGGGCTGTCACACAGTCTGGTAGAGAGTCAGGACTGAACCGGAGTGACTTGGCTCCCTGGTCAGGACTGGGGAAAAAAGGAGGAAGTGACAAGTCCGACCCCCAGAAGCCCAGCTGGCCCAGTGGGCCCTCAGCAGGGAGGAGGGTGCTGTGGGAGGTGGAGGTGATGCTCTCTGGCTGAACCCTCACCCCTTCCTGTGTCCACAGAGTGACTTTACCTCCGCCTGGAGTACCAACCACCACCTGGCCAGCATATTTGACTTCACGCTGGATGAAATCCAGAGTTTAAAAAGGTAACGATGAGGGACCCAGTGGAGAGGTTGGCTCTGGAGAGTGAGAGTGAGTCAGGCAGGGAGCCTGCCATTCCCCCAGCTCCTGAAGGGACAGAGCAGAGAGCCTCTGGAGGGAGTGGATGCTCCCTGGGGGTCACTGCCGTTAAAGGGTCCACACTGCAGAAGGCTGCCGGAAGGGTCTTTCTGCAGCAGGCCTTGCAGCCTAATGCCTCTGGCCGAAAGCCTGCGGGGCTCCCGCCCAGCGACAGCTCTGCGGAGCAGTGCTAGAGGCCTGCCCCCGCCGGCCCTCTCCACCCCGCCCCAGCTTCTCTCTGCCCCAGGCCCCATACCTAAATCGCTCTGGTCACCCCACATTCGTGTTCCTTGGGGAGGGGGCGGCCACTGCAGCTGTGGTGGTAAGGAGCTCAGCAGTGGGGAGGTGGCCTTGGCTGGATGCGTGTCAGAGGGGCCAGGAGACGACTGGGAAGAGCCAACAGCAGCTTCACCCTCTCCTCCCTCAGTGCCAGCTCTGGCCAGACCTTCTTCTCAGACGTCGACTCCACCGACGCCGCCAGCACCTCTGGCTCCGCTTCCACCAGCCTCTCCTACGACTCCAGGTCAGCTTCCCAGCATGCTGGCCTCAAGTTCCGTCACCCCCCTGCCCCCTGCCCCCAGCCCACATCTGCGATGTGTGTCTCATTCTGGGCATGTGAGGCTCCGGGACGTGGCCTTCTGTAATCGTGTGAATCTGGGTCTGGGACCCTCTGATTCTGAGTCGTGGGGTCAGACAGGGGCTGAATATGGGCATTCAGGCCACTCCTCTTTGCCTGCTGCAGGTTACATGACACTTCTTGCTGGGCAATTTCGGATCTGGGGTTCTTTCATTCTGGGGTTCTTGGCCTCTGCTTTCTGTGATTTTGCAATGTCTGTGCCTCTGACTGCAGATTCCCTAACCCTGATTCTTGGCTGTCTGAATCTGGTGTCTGTCTCCTGGGTCTTTAAGGAAAAGAGCCAGTGGTGTGGAAGCCTGATAGAGGGAAAATGGCATTCTGCAGAGTGAGGGTCCAGAGAGGGGACAGAAACCCCTGGGGACCCAGCTAGGGTTGAGCCTGCTCAGCAGGTGCTGTCCTCAGTGGCCTAGGGAGGGTGGGACTGCAGAGCACACGGACAGGTTCTCAACTGAGGCACCTTTTACTGTATTTTAGGATGTTTGAGGCACATGCCAAAGTCGAATTAAAAGTATAATGTCCCTTGAAGGGTGTCTTGTCTCCAGACACCTTGAGGTGGCTTTCTCTGCTTTTGCCTCTGTATTTTCACTTATGTCATTTCTTGGGTTCTCAGGAGCACTTCAGGTCTTGGTTTCTGTTTCTAGGCATCTCTGAATGTGTACCTCCCCTTCTGTGTGTTTCTCTACCCCCTCTGCCTCTTTCTTTTCCTGTGTGTTGGGGCACATACGTCTGTCTCCAATCCAGGTGTCTGTCCTTACCCTAATCTGACTCACCTGCTACAAACCCCATCCCTACTCCTGACTCACTTGGCTACAGGCGAGTCCAGGTGAACGGTAAGGCAGTGTAAGCAGGGCCTCTGCACTGCGTGGCTGCACAACGGTGCCCCTGGACTTGTGCAGTGCTGAGCTCCTAAACACAAAGAACGTGGTTTTGGGGCTGGACACACCTAGGTTTGAATCCTGGCTCTGCCACTCCCCAGCTGGTGTTTTCTCCTCAGGAGCCTCCTTGGGGCTATTGTGAGGATCCAGGGAGACAATCTGCGCCCAGGGCCTGGTGCCCAGGAGTGCTCAGGGAGAGGTACTTGTGTGGCTTATCCCATCTCATTCCCATCTTTCTCCTCTTCCCCTTCCGATACAGACGGACAGTGGGCAGCCGCAAGAGGAAGCTGGCGGCCAAAGCGTACATGCCACTGCGGGCAAAGCGGCGGGCGGCCGAGCTGGGTGGACGCTGCCCCTCGGACAGCAGTGCAGAGGGGGCCTTGGGTGCTGAGCGGCCAGATGAGGGCATCGATAGCCACACATTTGAGAGCATCAGTGAGGATGACTCGTCCTTGTCCCACCTCAAGTCATCCATCACCAACTATTTTGGTGCAGCTGGGCGGTTAGCCTGTGGGGAGAAGTACCAGGTGTTGGCTCGGAGGGTCACACCTGAGGGCAAGGTTCAGTACCTGGTGGAGTGGGAAGGGACCACTCCTTACTGACCAGCTCCCGGGGGATGCCAGGAGCCCTGGAAACCAAAGGAGAGACAGTGGACGCCACAGGCTCCCCAGGTCTCTCCAGGCTGGGGTGGGGGAGGGAAGCAAGACAGAGCTGCAAGTGCCCGGCCAAAGCCCCGCCTGCCCACCAGGCCCGGGCCTGTGCCTCTCGGCTGGGCCCGGCCTGCGCGCGGGCCTCCTCGGGCTCACCACCCCTCTGCCTGTATCTCTGAGGTCCCGCTGGCTATGGCTCCGTGTCTACACACACCCTCAAACTGTTGACCTATTCCTCTGAATTAGTGTCCTGCTGGCTCTGTGGCCTGTTCCTGAGGCCCGAGTCTGTCTTTGTCCCCAGTGTGTCCAGTGTTTCTCTCTCTCATCCCAGTTTTATATTGGGTGTGTATTTTTATACACCCAGTTTGCACACCTGATCCATCCCAGGAACCACATAATGAGAACATAAACCTTGGAGAAAGGCTGGGTGAAGGTGGGCACGAGGATGCCTTGAGGACCATCTCTCTCAACTTCCTGCCACTCCTCCTGGCTTGGGGAAGAGGTGGTGAGGGTGGAAGAAGGCCTCTGAGAAAGCCTGTGTGGCAGGGACCCTGGGCTCTCAGGATCCGAGGAGTAAAGAGGCCGGGTCCCTGCTTCAGAAGGCACCAGCACCAGAGCCCAATGATTAAGGCCAAGAATGAAGGCTGCAGTGTCAGCTTCTGAGAACCCAGAAGTCTTCCCTTCCCTGGCCACACCGTCTCTCTGTTACCATGGAGCTGGACCTGGCCTTGCAGACCGAAGGGACGGGGAGAGGAAGTGAGGGGAGGAAAGGAAGCCGTGTCCTGTTCCAGCTCAGCAGGCGTACACACACCACACACACAGCCACACGTTCCGCAACCCCTACCCCTCCACCCCCTGCCAGCCTGGCTCCTGCCCTTGGCTTTCCCTGGCCCTCTTCCGGGGGCCACATGCTGCAACTAAATGTGAAAGTCCGGCTCCTGCCTACGAAGCAGCTCTGACCCCAGAGGGAAATGTAGGGGACTCATACCCTCTTAGCCCCTGCCCTGCCTGAAACTGACAATCATTTTGGGGGCAGGCTGGGATTTTTAAAGGGCTTGAGTCATTCAGCCCCCTCAAAGGGAAGCCTTTGGTCAGTGGGAGTATAAACACAGTTCTTAAAATCGACATTTGAAACTCAGATCCATCTGGAGGGAGACCAAAAATGGGAGGGGGAGGAGACGACTCATTTTTGCTGCTTCCAGAGGTATTAGAAACTGACTCACTTGATTGGAAAATAAGTGCCTTGACTGGGGCAGGGGTGCACCAGATGGGGACCAGCCTTGCCAACTGCTGCTATGGCCTTCAGCTTGGCTGGGTTTTGGAGGCTGCCAGCTGTAAGGCGAAGGTGGATGGACAGTGGCGGGGGTGGGGGGCAGCAGGCCTGGAGCTGGTTTTCCTGTTAATAGGCTCACCTCCCTCCCCATCTGTGAGCATTCAAGGGTCCCTGCGATAGTTCAGATGCCCCTTGCCTCCAACCTCAGCTCCAACAGTGCCTTTCAACTGGGACCTCACCTCCTGCACACAGCCCACGACTTCCCTCTGCTTCCCAGCAGTCTAGGCAGAGACCAGCTGGTTGGGCCCAGTTCTCTCCCTTCTCAGCCCCACAGCTGCTGCCACTGAAGACCCCAGGCTGGGGCCAGGTGGAAGGGGAGCTGAGAAGGCAGCGCCCAGTCCGGCTGGGGGGTGAGACCTGGGGTCCAGCTGGTGGCTTCCTGCCTGCTCCAGAGAGCTAACAACCTCCCAGGCCTCCCGTGCTTTCTCAGCAGCTTTCCAGGCTGAGAAAGCACAGGATGGGCAAAGCCTGTCGGAGCTTCTGCGCCTCCTCTGCTCAAGCTCCAGAGGCTCTGGGCTTCAAGAGGGGGAGGGAGGGAGAGGGTGTCTTCCCCTCTGGAGATCACCATATGGCCTGGCAAGGTCCCCCCGACTCCACACTCCAGCATTTCATTCATACCTGGTAACAGCTGCATTACTGCCAACTGACCTTATCATAACCCTGTGCACCTTCAAAAAGATTTATGGTTTTGAATTGCTGCTTTTAGTAACATTTGTTATATTAAAGTTATAATTAATGTGTCTGATCTACAATTTAAAGCTGCCTTTTCAAAATCTGCTTATCATTCCCCTAGTGAGTTATCAGCTGTTGGGTACCAAGAGGAATTAGCTCTGTTCCCTCGTCTAGGTCTCCCGAAAAGTGAGGAGGAATGCCTGGGCCCCATCCTCTCTGTGGCCACCACGCCACTCCTACCGCCGCCTCCCACATTGTCTCAGCAATACTCACCCTTACCACCAGGAAGACTTGGAACCTTTTTCTACTGAGTACCTGACTCATGGGGGTAAAAAACATTAGCTGAGGGTCAAAGAGAAGTGAAAGATGGGGAATGAACTTAGGATGGGACCCTAGGAAGATGCTTCAGTACAGGCACTGTAAGCCCTGACTGCGCGTAGGCACACAGCTGTGACCTGAGGTGCACCCTGGCCCCGCTCTGCTGGCTGCCACCTGCACTGCTCTGTCAGGTTCCTTTGCTTCAGTTCCTCGCCCTCCACATGCCAGAGAGAATCCCTGCTTTTGAGGGATGTTGAGGGAGCCCTCTCACATACAAATGTGATAGATTATTACTTTACATAAACTTCTCTAAATTGTGGGCAGTTTGGAGAAAAAGAAGCAACATGAAGGGACAGGAAAAAGCTACAGGGAAGTTGAAGGCCAGGGTTCAACTGAACCCTGTATTTTCAGGGCTTAGTGTAGCCTGTTGACCACCCCCCACACCCCACCAAGTGTTAATGTCTGCCCTTAAAAATCTTCATTATATGGCTCCCACTTACCCTACCACTCCTCCTGCTTCAACCTGGTAAGTGCTCTTGGAACAAAACCACAACTGGAGCTGAGGGGGGGGAGGAGTAGGGGTAGGATCACTCTCTGCACTGAAATCAATGGAGTGAGATGAAAAGTGAACAGCGCCAGGGACCCAGGCTCCAGTCCACGCTCCCGGGGAGCAGCCCTACAGGCCCCCCGAGGTCGGTGGTCCTCCCCAGGCTGGAGGGCCTGCTACCGTGTAGTCAAGGTTAGTGTTTACAGACTCACAACAAATAATCCACCTTTGAAATTGAAGACCAAGAAATCAGGATTCTCACAAATTTCCCCAAGTCATAAGTTACCCTTAAACTACTTCAAACATTCTTTATACTCTTTCCTCATTTTTATAGGTATCTGGGGAAAAAAAATTGTTTAACAAAGAGGAACATTAAGCTCAGCAGTGTCTACAAAGAACTGCAGCCCCCAGGGAATAAACACTGGAAAACGCCAGGGAATGTTACCAGATGGTATTCAAATAACGCATTCAAATATATCCTAACAAGGTTAAGAGTACACAGAATCTTGTGTCAAAATTGCCAGATTAAGAATTTATTTTGTTTCCAAAGCTTATTTCTTGGAACTAGGCTGACAGGATTTGTAGAAAGTATACTGTGTGTAGAAACTTACCACCTTATTTGCAAGAATGCCTCCCGCTGGTCCTTGCAGACGGGACCAGACACGCCCTCACGACATGGCAGCGATCACAGGCACACCTGCGGAGAGGGCAGCACCACTTCCCTCCCACGCGCTCCCGCCTGGTTCTCTGAACCTTCACTCCTGTGCGGGAGCACTTCTTGCTCTTGTTTTTTATTTGATGAAGATGGATTCCTTCAAATCAATAACATCTCCATGCTTTTAAGCTTCAGTATTCATGGGTAATTTTAATACTTTTTCTCATGTTCTCAACTGGTTTTCCCAGGAATTCTGGGTTCAAAAAAACCCTTACATTTCCTGAGAAATGCCAGGAAGGAATTCCCACGTGGAAACCCTAGTCTAGGTCCCAGCCCCAGGTCTCACAGCATCATTCTGGGAGGACAGTGTGGTAGAGTGGCCAAACCATGTAAGCTGGAGTCACACAGACCCTGAGAATCATGAATCTGTTCCTCAAAATCTGTATAAGGAAGATGCTATCGCCAACCTCCAGATCTGTGGGGAGGAGTAAACAGTGCAATACGCCAACTTACCCCAGGGAAGTCTGAGGAACTAGTAACTCTTCCTTTAGAGTTGGCTAGAGCAGGTTCTCTGAGTCTTTGGCCTACAAAGGGATACATCCAACCTCTTTGAAAGAGGCAGTAAGAGCATCCGATTCAGAACCAGAGACCCGGGTTCAGAGCCTAGCTCTGCCACTTATTTTAAGCATCTTTTATCTCCTGCTCTCTGATCTCAGGTTTCATCTGCAAAATGAGCGTAACATTGAGTTATAAGGATAAAATGAAGTTAAGAACCTAGGAAAGAACCTGGCAGAGAGCTGACGGTTTAAGCAGGTGTTTTTTCCCTCTCCTCTCCCATTTCCTATAGTCAATTGTGATACTGAGGCAAAGCAAGGCCACCAAGGAACAGTTTTCAATGCACAGTCAGCACAGAAAATGACCCAGTGAAGGCCAGAGATAGAAAGAAAAATCTCCTTTGGAATAAGTTCTACTTGAAGAAAGTTCAAGGGAAAAAAGCTGGATTTTGCCAAGAAAGTAACTGTGGACTATCGAGAAAGTTTTAGTTATTCAAATGCTTGAAACATCAATTTGGGAAGTATTTGCCAAACCATGTGCAAAAGACCAAATAGATTCAAACATGCCCCCTCACCTCGAGCAGCTCACATCTAGAAACAGGAGACTGTGATGCACAAGGACACAAGGCAGGAGAGACTCCTTCCCACTGGGGACGCCAGGCCTTGCAAAGGAGCCACCAGATTTCACAAGCGTTCGTGCAGAAGGGCGCTCAGGCAGGAGGGTAACATCACAGCATACTGGACTCACCCACTTGCCAGGGCAGGAGAGGGAG